TACAACAACAGAAACGGTCATTTTCTGCTTATACATTTGTTCACCTCTTTTCAGGTTCAGTATGTTGACGCCGTCGAATCATCTATCTTCGTTAGATCCACATCGTCCAATTTCCGGTGTTGTTGATGCGGCTCATAGAGATGAGGAAGGTGGTGCCCATTGTAAGGACCATGCAGTAACTAGTGTGAGTAGTNGGATGCCACTGGAGATGATTATCGTTCTGCTCGTTCCAGTGATACAGCTCATGATTTAGATGACGAAGCCGATGAAGACGAAGACGACATAGGGCATGAGACCTCTTCGTTAACTGGAGAAGAACTACTGGAAGAGCAGCAACGACGAGCCGAAGCCGCTGAAGATGAAGTACTTCATATGACTGAGCTGCTATCGAAGCGTCGCGAGTCTGAAGCCCGGAGACACCTCATGATGGCAGAAATGGAAGCAGACATGGAACGCGATCATCGACTTCGTGCTGCCGCAACAGCAATGGCTCTGGCCGCGGTGAGTAATCTGAGTCCTGCTCGAAAAGCTCGAGCACATCGTTTTCACACGCACACTGGACGTTGTATACGACATTCCAGGCATGCTGGTCCATTGGCCTTACCAAACATCGGATTGACGGGAAGGGATACATACGGAACTTTTCCATCAACTGCCTACCGTGAGGAGGATATGGTGATTTCGATCACCAAATGTAGGTTCTCGTATTTTTTTCTTTGTATTTTCTCTTAGATCAAAGGCGTTCATAGTGGACAAGTGATTTATGATTGTATGAACTGGGACGCACTTTTTCATCTCTTAAATGACACCTTTGTTAATGAATATTTGAATAGGGATTTTGCACAAACCTATGGTCATATGTTGTTCAGAAAGGTCTGAAAGTTTTGAATGACTCATCAGCCTAATCTACCGTACAAATTGTTTGAGACGGTTTAGTTATGAAACAACCACTTCTATCATTTATACAACCAGACGAAAGTTGTTTGTTCTACCCTGAAGCTAATTTTTATGTTTCTAATCTCGAACGAGCTTGAATGACTCGTTCGATCCATCTAAAAATACTTACTTAACAGAATCATTCGGTTTCAACTTTGTGACACCGAGGATGTTTGACAGTATTACTGCTGTAAAAAAGCAACTTCAAACCGATGTTTGTTGATGAATTGTGTTTACTTGTGGAAAACAGTGAGTAAGTCGTTGTTTTTTTATTTCCATATACAATAGCTCCTGCCGGATTGGGATTCAGTTTGACCACGAAACCCTTAAGATCTATCCGTGTCCCAGGACAACCGGGATCAGTGGAACCGTGTGGTGAAGAGCCTGTGGCTATCTGCGTGAAAAACATACTTCCTGGAGGTGCTGCTTTGAAAGAGGGACAGTTACGCCTCGGAGATCGTCTCTTACAGGTTAGTGTTATGGAATGTCATTTTAGGCCACTGTTCTTAGGCAACACCGATTGTGTTGTGCATGTCATGCGTTCCTCAATCAGTTACGGTTTTCCCAAACAACTCAAAGTTCACAGGAGCTAGTGCGCTGTTCCATTGGGCCTTATGATCATTTCTATGTTCTATCTGTTCATGAGTTTGTTAAAAATCATGATCATTTAAGATTCATGTTCGTCTTTTTCCTTTATAAATAGCCCTCCTCGTTGTTCATCAGTTGAATGTTAAAGTTTGATGTGAATCATAAAGATCTAGCAATGCTCGTTTTAGAGTTCCTAATTATCGTAGTAAATTCACGAAAGTAATATAGGAATAACCTGAACAATTCAAGATTTCTTTGGGACACGCACAATACGGTATGTTGATTCATCGTGTGCTCTCATCAATAATCACATTACTTATTTCCGCTGTAAGACGTTTATTGATTCGTTCGTTCTGTATCCCAAGGATTTTCTGTTTTTACCTTCCGTGTAACCTTTCTCCATCCGGAAGTTGGAATCGTGTGTACACATCTGTGCCATTAAACCCGGTGGTTTCACGACGCTCTGTTTCACATAATTATCGAGCCCTATAGACATGATTCCAATTTGTACATCGGAGATATTCACCCAAATTAATGAAGTGTGAACCAAACTTTCTCTTTATATCAAATATCTTTTAATGTACAAGTTCGACGCAAATTTTTCCCCATTGTCCAAGTTCGATCGCATTTTTCACCAAACGCTGAATTAAACAGCTTCTATTGAGTGGCTACTCATGAGTAGGTAAACATAATTCGGCAAAACGAATTCATTTTAGCAAATCCTTACAACACATCAAGTGGGGATAAATTAATTTTGATAATTCGGCGAGTTTCGTTTATCTGATTAGAACAACTAGCACTTGGTTTGCAAAACTTCTCTGTCACTGGACGTATGGAAAAAGCGAAATGACAGCAACACATTTAAAGTAGGCGTTTTCCTGGGACATTCATTCATTATTGTCGTAAATTGTTCTGTATGAAGTCCTTGTCAGCACGTTTCATTTTCATAGAAAGCGTTCCACTCATCGCGATCCACAAACCTCAAGCATTTGTATCAAAGCGTGACCACGATTACCTAAAAATCTGAACCCACTTTCATCGTTACATGTTCGGTTGTCTCCGCAATTTAGCATTATGTTTACATTCCAGATGTTTTAATTTAATATCTTTCCTTCTTCAACACACTACTCAGCGAACGCAGTGATATACGATCAACCTATTTTTGGTAACTACGCACTAGTTCATTGGCTTTCCAGTTTCTTATCCGGAGAAAGTAACTATTACTTCACCTTGCTTGATAGGAAACATGAACCACAGTTGTCATTCATTCAATCTCGTTTTGTTATTGTCGATTGTTTTATCAAGTATTAGCTTTCAGCATATTGCTAACCATTCACATTTTACGCACGAACTACGTTACCTCTGCTTCAAAACTACCTGGTATTTGATAGCACAAAATAAATGAATGTTTTCCATCAAACCTCATCTAAGCGAGGTGCGAATAAAATCTGTGGGTTCGATTTTGCCTCAAGATAATCAATAAATATAACCCGTTTCATATTTAACAATGGCCAACCCACGGAAATACTTCAAAAGAAACCAGTTAATTACTGGCTATCAAATATAATTTAAACTGGCTTTATGAGGTGATGATTTATTTTTGACCGCGCATAAATTTCATTTCAGTACTAAAATATATGATATTCTATAGTACAAACAGGCCGCCGATTTCACGCAACATTTATCATTGTCAACTTTCGTTGACAAGAAAAATATGGTGTGTGATAGATTTAAACCCGCCTGTTTCAACTACCAATTACCTTGTACTCAAAACACTTTCCCCTCGAAAACTAATAACTCATTCTGTGTATTAAATGACCGTCTTGTTATTTTGCCAGACATACTACGACCGCAGATACCAGATCAATACTTTGGGAATTCAATAGTGGCGGTGATGACAACGATATAGGAGACTTTTGAAAGACAAATTATTCATGCCGTTGTCACCCACCTGCGAACTCTCGCCTGAAGCTTGTCACTATATGTTCGTGACAATTCGACTGGATAGAATAGATTCACTTAGCTGTTTCAGTTTTCATTCTTCCACCCTCTGCTCAGCAATCTGTACTACACTGATACGATCAAACGTATCGTTTATAAGTAGGTGATATCAAAGTCTATACGAAATGTCGGTGATGCATACTCACACAAGTACTTATCACGCTTATGAATGAATATACAAAAATGAACAATGAGCTTTATTAAAGCACTCCACCGTATCAAGTTTTTCGTTTGTTATTATGGTGCGATATTTTGAATCCTGAAGGTCGCTTATCTAGGACGTTCCTTCAACTGGATCAACTAAAAACCTGAAAGGCTTTGAAAACCGAATGCTGCCGCTGGAAAACTAAAAGAGATTATTTTCAAAGTTCTATCCAGTTGAAACTGATTTTCACTCGCAAAGCGCTGGTGGCTGTGATTGTCTCAATATCGCACTGTGGGCTGCGTGCTTGAATCTCAAAAGTCACACAGTTTTATAATTTAATGGTTTCTTCACGTAATTTTTTGACCAATGCATTTTTTCAAGTGCGCTTGGCTCAAAGTACATCCTGATAAAGGTATTATTTAGAAGAAGATGCATAGTGAAAGACACTGACTGCAAAATCTTTGAATGTTTAGATAATAAGCGGTCGAATCATCTACTTTTCCTCTCTTCACTTTGTTCTTATTCGTATGGCTGTTATTTGCTGGAAATCAAACTTAGATTCGACGACATGTGAAACAGGTTCATTCAAGTGGAAGCACATATCTAGAGCAGGTTGAAGGAGATAAAGTGGATGGGCTATTGATCGGTGATCAATTTGGGACAGTTGCCCTACTACAGTTTTGAATGATGCAAGTTGTTTGTTTTTTTGGCGTAGGATTTTAGACGACGTATGTATGTGTGGGGTTAATTGGTCAAGTTAGAGAATGCCCTTTAATCATGTGACGAGCTCCATCGACAGTGGTCATGCAACTAGCATAAGTTGTGGAAGTAAACTTGATTAGCTGCGACAGTTTCTGAGCGTCATCATGTAGGATCCTAAACCTGCGGCGTTTTATAAATATTGGTACACCGAGATTTCTTTGGGATACTGTTTGAATTCAAACGTGTGTGAAATACTATGCAATACTCTACATTTTAATCAAATAGGATCATATGATGAAATCGTCATGTCATTGGAGCGTGAGCTAAAAGACTGGGAAGTACTGGACAGTAGTAGTCCGGGGTTCCACCCGTGAGGTCCCGGGTTCAATCCGCATTTAGGTCGATAGAATGCAATTTTGACGAGAGCCAAGTACGGCGAGTTTATCGTGAAATCAAATCACATCCTCCACTCCTCTACTTGTACATAAAAGAAGATCTTAACAGACCAACTTTTCGGACGTTGTGGGGCGGATAATTTGCATTGTGTGGCATTTTTAATGACTTTTAATACAGCTCATTTTTCCGAAATTACTGAATCATATTTTGATTAGAGTGTAGGATTTTCTCAGAACCGTAACTTTCAGTGAATCAATATATTACAAAGAATGAAGTAATGCCAATAAGTGTTGTGGGAATCGGTTAAATAGTCAAATAAACACATTGAGGAATCCAATGACGCTTTTTCATCAAAGTCTATTGATTGAAATATTTATATTTTTTGAATATGATTTAGTGATATTTTTAAGTTTCTTCTGTCGGTTAGTTTCAAATCTCTGTTAGAGAACGCGTTGTGGAATGTCGAGGAATGGAATTTCTACATGTTACTGTTAAGTAAACTACTGACTATGTTCATTCCTAAAAGACAGCAATCTTCTAGTTGTAGCATTTTCTCAGTTTAACGAAGGACGCGATATGTGAGATACTTGATTCTGTGCGTGTATACTTTTATTGCAGGTGTATCATTCAATTTTAGTTAGAATGTGAATCGTTCCTTCTTACTCATTCGCCGTAAGCAGTGAATTTTGAGAAATTGCATGATATCTTTGCACTCGATATTACAACGGTGCTATTTGCGTCTCTTCACCATGTAATGTCACAACTTATTTTTCTATCATTCTTATCATTAGCCAATTTTATTTTGCGTGCAGAGGATAAACTAAATGCTGTATTAGTTACAGCCCAATAATTTACCATTACCCTATTTCTTAAAGAACATGACTAGGTGAAATCATTCCACCCAAATAAAAGCGAATGTATTCTCAATTACCTGTCATCTGGGACATGTTGTGCGGCCCTCCCAATCTGAGTACTCATTAAACTCTCATCCATACAGTTGAGATCAAGGGGAACAACATATATGTACGGTTACCCGCCTAACCTCACCATGTCCAGTCTGGGCGAATGTTTATTTCCTATAAGTACTGCTTATCCGTTTGTTATTCATGCTACCCCTGTCTGAAATAAACAGAAAACATCTAATGCCCATGCTTGTGAACCTCTCTATTTTCTCCCTCTCGTTATGAACGTTTGGAAGTATGTTGCACTCGACACCTACCCACATCCTAATCCCTTGTCCGATAAGGTTCATCAAGGTCCAGTGATTTTTGTTGTTTGTTTGTTTGATGGATTGTATTCCTCTTGCGTATCGAGCCGTTCGAGTAACTGTCGCCGTGGCCGACTACAGTTTATGTTTGTGTTGTTGGTCACCTCAACAACAGCTTCTGTGTATCAGTCTGTATATGTAGAGTACTCAGAAATACGATCGTACAAAGCGTGCGCACACACAAGTGCACGAGCACACGTACATATCTGTGGGTAGAATAACGAATGGGGGTGGACCTTGATCAGCTGGGGGATTGAATATTTGACTTGTGAGCCGAATTCACGTGTGCTGGCTCCGTTGCCTACTTGTTTATGGTGTGAAGGGTAAAAGTCACTTCCTGATCTTCCTGTTTTCGGTTTAACCTGTTGGCTTACCTGAGTTCAGTTTACTGAGGATTCGTTCGTTCGTATCTCGAGCTATCTTATGTTTACAGGAACATCATCTTACGGGAGAAAAATGGATTTTTCTGATAAGTGACTTCGGGTAGTTTGCTGTCATTTAATACAGCGTGTTTCTACTTCCCTCTCTGGACTGCATGATCATAGTTAATCAAATCTGTTCTAAACCTCATTCCCTCTTAAAATGTGAGTACAGTTCTCGGTGTTTAGTATCTGTCTGGCTGCATTTATTTACCGTATATCACTTCTTTACAAATGAGTGTATGTATGCACACTGAACGTTCTATGGGGTTGCCATGTTGACGTTTCTTTTCAAATTTGTCATATAGGATGTTCCACAGAATGCTTTGTCCGATCTAGCAAACGGTGGAGTCGACTTCCTCCCAGGGAACAGAGTCCTCGACTTAGAATATGCGGATGACCTCGCCTTGCTGGGTGACAACACAGGCAGTCCAAAACGCTTTGAACCGCTTGGCGCTGGAGGTATCCAGGTATGGTATGTGCTTTGCACCGTCAAAGTGCAAAGTGCTAGTACAAGACTGGCAGCAGCCTGTGCCTGCACTCACCCTCTGTGGTGGTCAGCTAGAAGTAGTTGAGAGCTTTAAGTTCCTCGGGACCTTGATCGCCGCTGGTGGAGGTGTTGGAGAGGAAATCACATCATGAATAGCGAAAGCTAGAGCAGCTTTCGCCAACCTGCGACATCTGTGGCGTCGCCATGACATCCTACTGTCCCTTAAAAGTTGGGCTTGCATTGCCGCGGTTCGTAGCGTTTTGCTTTACGGTTGCGAGACCTGGCCCCTCAGCGTTGAGGATGCTAATCGACTTTCTGTATTCGACCACCGATGTCTTCGAAGCATTGTTCGTGTCTGGTGGGAACACAGGGTGATGGCTTGGTCACGTATTGCGTATGCCTGCCCATGGACTACCTTTCCGTGCTCTTTTCGCACATACTGGGCAAGGCTGGAAGAAACGGCGCGGCGGTCAGACCATGACATGGGCTAGAGGCATGAAGGAGCTGGCTTCTGCTTTGGCTTGGGTTGGTGCATCCCGCTTTCCAGGTTGGGGCCCAAGGGATGAGGATTGTCGTTGGTTAGAGATGCTGAGAGATACGGCTCAGAATAGAAGTCAGTGGCGCGAATGATGTACGGTCTGCCTGTCAAAATCCCGTGCCCCGTAAAAGGAAAACAGTAAACAACACAAAAAATTAATAAAAGGTGTCCGGTGAAACACAAACGATTTTTGTTATTCCAGATATCTTCCATTTTCCCGTGTTTAACGATTTCACCCCCTTTTTTCACCGTGTTCAGTACTCTAGTCCACCTGTCCTCTTTCATTGATATTGTAATTATTGTTGTGTTGGCGTCATGCTTGTCTACAAGCCGGTGGTAAATAATAATAATAATGCGTTGACTTTCGGTTCAACTCTCTTCTGTTGAAAATTTTGGAGCGGCTCACTTTTGTGTTTCTGCAATCTACTGATCGCATCGGAAAAAGCGACTGGTTTCCTATCTGTATCGTAACAAATGTATAACAAGCGATATAACAAATAATTTAAGTGGATTAAATTACGCAATTCGACTATCGCATTCCCATACATGCAGAGGGTTCTTTATTTCCGGTTGTTGGACTAACTTGCTCTTGAACTTTGGATAGAATCGATTCGAGCTTATTTCATTTTCCCTTATTTTCCTAGCGATCAGTGTTGCGTAATCGTACTTCGCTAGTCAACGGCCATTTTGATGGAAGTTATAATTGTTCCAATGAAATGTTCGATTTTGGTTGGATAAAATCCCTAACTTTATATCGTTACTTGACCGAGACCATTTGATGTCACCTATTGGGTTTAGTTTCTCCGGTGTTGGAGCTTAATTTCTTTGCATGGTATGTTTTACATTTACATTTCAAATCGTTTTACAATTCAAAACTCTACCGGTTCGTTCTCTGTTTACTGATTGCTGTTCTATTTCAGGTGGACGATCAAGATGTATCGGACAAAACCCAAGCCCAAATCGTATCAATGCTGCGTGTTAAACCGGTTGGCAGTGTGGTGAAATTATTAATTCGAAGACAATTTCCCCCGCCAGATCCAACTTCAGTGCCTCGTCCTGTTTCAGTTGGACTGACCTGCCCTGGTTGTTTGGTTCACAAACCAGACTATTTACCATACGGCCCGGTTTTGATGAATAACGCTCAGCGCGTTCATCCACACAACTATCCACATTCGCAACCACAAGCCCCACCACAGTCACAGCATCAGCACCACCATCGTCATCAACCCTCGCAACAATCTCGACAACGGGCACAGTTACAGCAACGACAACAATTGATGGAAGAACTCACTCATCGCACCCACTCCCATTACCCGGTTTGTCACACGCTTCAGGCGACCAAATTGTCCTCCTTAACTGGAACACGGTTGCCGAACGATCGAACGATCTATCGATGCGCGTCCCCACCTCTTTTGCAACATACAACCCAATTTTTGGATGATTTACCTGATGTAACCAGCACGACTGACTATCCTGTAAGCCATTTAAAGTATTTCTGTTGGAGCACAAATACTAGATCACATGGTCCCGTATCTGCCACACCCAATTTGGATTGTGTACTTTGGTTTCGGAAATTATATGAAATAAGAGCAGAAAGAATCCGCGTCGGAATGAAATATAATTTAAAGCATAATGACAGAATTTGGGGACGAGATACATTGAATTTGTGGAACAACTTTGATATCAAACGGGCAACTAGAAAAGCCGACAAAAGACCGCGGACTATAGTTAACAATCATAAGTTTGTTAAACTTGGACGGTTTCACGGCACTCCTCGGTAATCATCTGACTAACAGGATATGCGGGCATGATGAAATACATCGTAAATATAAGAAGGTTCAATTTAAATCAGTGTTCGGTTGTTTTGGTTTCCATTACTCTTCACATAAATCTATAAATAGAGTGACTATAGAGCACTGACTTATTGATAATCGTGCAAAAAAGGATCAATCGTATACTAATAAGGACGACTGCTATTTGTTGGTTCTGTTTTATCGAGATAATATTAAGCTGCTCCACCTCAAAAGTGAAGGTAATGTCTTTTCCAACTACGCGTATGCATGTGAGAATTTCCCGTTCATAAAAAGTTGTCGGGTTTCCCTAAACTCCAAGTCTTGCTTTATTTGCGATATATATTCGTATATCTCCCCATCTCACTAATTTGAATTATTAGTTAGTCGTTCATGCAATCAGTTAAAAGACTTCTTGTTCTTTTATTTCGTTTCCTTTTTCATCTTAATTTCCTTTTGTTGTCTATACAAAGATACAATTTCCCAGAAGGGTATAACGGTCAATCAGAGGACTATCAAACAAAGAATAATAGGAAAAGTCGGGTTGTTTTGGATTGATAGATTTAGCAGCAGTGTGTGACCCTTTTA